GGGATTTTATTATAGACTTACACTACACAGTACCAATTGATATTTTTTGTGTTTTATGTAATATCATATAAATGCCTTTTAATCTTCTAGTCTTGCTAATACAACTGTAATTACAAGCATTTTATTCCAACTAATTGACAAAAATAATAAACCATGCAATGTGAAATATATAAATGCTGCAAAGTTGTTAATTGTCCGAAGGACACACCTGATGGCAAATTCTAAATTTTGATTGGCTAGAAAAAAACAATCAAAACAATCGATAACCTATGCTTATTGGCTAGATCAGTTGTAGTCAATCAATCGTAATAATTGGTCCCTCGGACTTTGATATGGTTTCCATTTTCCTAGTCATTAAAAAATCTGAAAACGTATACAGAAAATATTGCTATGTGAGAAGTAAAAACTCATAATCGAAATAACTTCTATTATAATATCTAACTACGTATATTAAAAAATCAGGGCTTTCATTGCAAACGGATACCATACTACATACCAAAAGTTCATAATATTAAGAAACTCTCAGTTTATAATATTTAAAAATATTTCTAGACTAATATCAGAACCGCCAATTCATAATATTTGATATTAGATAATTCATAATATTATATCCAACCTTTATAAAATAAATTACTAAGTTATACTTTTCGTAAAAAATTCGTTATGCTTGAGACAATGATATGGATGCATTTGTGTGATAAAGCAAAAGCCTTTAAGTTATATCTATAGCATTTTGAACAAGTATGTAAATTTTGAATACGCTTTGTTAAACAAACTCGTGAATTTAGTATTTGCCTAACTTTAATCCTGTATTATTTATTTTTTTAAAACTTTATACCAATTGCAAAACGATCTATATCGTTTTCTAATTTAAGAATGACATATAACTACAAGTTGGAGAATATATAGGACAAAAGGCCTCAATAATAACTCTGTTACTAGCCTTTGCTAGCTCATTATTTAAACAACGTTTGTTACCGCAAAGATCATGACTATAAATAGAGATAACTTGATTTAAAAGGTTTTCTGTAAATGCTTTCTCTCTTTTAAGGGTCAGTTGATTCCCACTAAGAATTAAATACATTAGAGTAGTGTTTTTGTTAAGCGAATCTATTAACGCCTTGCCTCCTTCAAAATTAATATTATTATGACTAATATCTAAAAAATTCAGAGCACTATTCTTGCAAAGTGCTTCTGCCATCGCCTTTCCTCCTTCATAACCAATTCTATTACCACTAAGATTGAAATGAGTAATGGTGCTATTTTTACAAAAAGCCTCTGCAAATGCTTTTCCTTCTTCAGAATCGAAATAATTACTGTAAAGTTCTAAAGATGTTAAATTGTTATTCCTGCAAAGAGCTTTGGCTAATGCTTTTCCTCCTTCAGAACCAAGTTGATTAGAACCAAGGTTCAAACGAGTCAAATTAATGTTTTTGCAAAGAGCTTCTGCAAAAAATTTTGCTCCTTCAGGTCCAAGTTTATTGCCATTAAGATCCAAAGAAGTTAATGTATTATTTATGTAAAGAGCCTCTGTCAATGCTTTTGCACCTTCTTGGCCAAGTTCGTTGCCACTAAGATTCAAGGAAGTTAAGGTATTATTTTTATAAAGTGCCTCTGCTAACTCTTTTACTCCTTCAAAGCCAAGTTCATTCCAAGCAAGATTCAAAGATGCCAAAATGTAATTACTGCATAGAATCTTTGCTATTGTTTTTCCTCCCTCAGGACCAAGTTGGTTAAAACTGAGATCCAAATTAGTCAAGTTAATTTTTTTGCAAAAAATTTTTGCTCCTTCAGAGCCAAGTCTATTGCTACTAAGATCCAAAGAAGTTAATGCATTATTTATGTAAAGTGCCTCCATTAATACTTTTGCACCTTTATGGCTAAGTTCGTTGCCACTAAGATCCAAGGAAGTTAAAGTATTATTTTTGTAAAGTGCCTCTGCTAATTCTTTTACACCTTCAAAACCAAGATCATTCCAAGAAAGATTCAATGATGTCAAAGTGCAGTCACTACAAAGAATCTTTGCTATTGTTTTTCCACCTTCAGGACCAAGGTGATTCCCAGTAAGATTTAAAGAGGTCAAAGTGGCGTTTCTACAAAGTATTTTTACTAATATTTTTACTTCTTCATAAATAAGTATGTTATACGTAATGTCCAAAGAGGTTAAATTCGTATTTGTACTGAGAATTCCCACCAATAATTTTTTTATTCCTCCTGGAAAGTTATTGCATTCAAAGTTTAGAGAAGTTAAATTGGTGTTTCTATTAAGAATTTCTATTGTCTCACTGTCAATAACTCCGTAAATTTTTAAATTTTTAAGTTTATTACATTTTCGTAGAAACATTTTGATCAACGAAAATCTAATATCTTGAAATATTTCATAAGAATCAATTGGAGGAGGTGAAAGATAATCTAATCCATAAGAAATAATTGGACTATTTATAAGAGGAGCAAGCCATCTTTCGATACTAAGATGTAAATTAAAGCCTTCAATAGAAGTAGTATAAGAAGTATATTCAAATAATGGATTTAAAAATTCCGGAAGTTTTATGTTTAGTGGAATAAGTCGCTTTTGTTCTTCAATGTTTAATGATAAAAAATACATCATTATAATCCTTTCATCAACGAAATAATCCAGTGGTTTGCACCACAATAGTGATATAGCAATTCTACACCATTTACGATTTACAAGAAGGCATGAATATAAGCATCCTCGATATTTCCTCAAGTCACTGAAGTTTTTAAATATTTCATAAAGGCACTCATTCGGCAGTAGCTCAATCATTTTAAAAGGGTAAAGTTTATGATTTCTGTAGTAAAATTCCCCATTAAATACGTGTCACAACCTTTAGATGCAACACAAACACAATTATAGTTTAATTGCTCCAGTATGATAAAAAAGAAAGCACCAGGGCGTAGCCGGGCACGTGAAAAATGATCACATGTCTACAACTATTATACGTAACGAAATCATACAAGTGTTAATAAAACTTCTTTATTAAGTTAGTACGATAATTTTATTGGATCAAGACTCGGGGCATGTATAATCGAGGCTTAGCTGGGTGGTTTTAACTCTCAACAAGGGTAAGGCGAGACCAACTGGATTCTGTGTTTTACATTCCCCCCCCCCCCCCCTCCCCAGCGTCCCCCCCTCTCCCTCATAGTAAAAAAAAATTTGATAAATATATATAGGGCTCCGGGCTATTTCGGAAAATTTTTATATAGTCACGGAACAATTCGGAAAAATTTTTTTTCGAAAAAAAAATTTTTGAAAATTTTACTATGTAAACCACAAATCCCCCCCCCCCCCCCCTCCGGAGGGGATAGGGGGGTAATGTAAAACACAGAATCCAGTTGGTCTCGCCTAAATAACCCTAAACGAGGGTGAATAACCATAAACAACCCTAAACAAGGGTGGATAACCCTAAACAAGGGTGGATAACCCTAAACAAGGGTGAATAACCATAAACGAGGGTGAATAACCATAAACGAGGGTGAATAACTCTCAGAGAGGGATTGTAACCCCAGCGAATATAAATATGATGCTCAAACTAATAAAGAAGATATATATTGACCTACTTGTTACATAATAAATAAAGTAATAACATACTTACCCTTTACTTACCAACTATTCTCCTTAATAACTGCCTAACATTCAATCCGAATCCCTAATAAACATTTACACCGTGTAACTTGTGCTATGCCTGAAGCTAATCTGCACACATATGATATTGCACTCCCAATCTCGGGCATAACACGTGGAAATCATGATCGACAGGGCCGGAATTAACTAATTTTGCCCAAGATCACTTAAAAGTTTTACTAATAATGTCATAGCCCACTCATTAAGCAAAGCTGCCCAGCTGATAATTTTGAAAAAATGGTTGACTTAGATCGATATTGCTAAATGCCGGCAGCGGCTGTGTCCGATAAGGCTGAAGATAAGAAATTTGTGTTGGTAAAAAAAAAAAAAAAAAAAAATCCTAAAGCTCACAAAATCCTGTCAAATACAAAATCTTGTCAAGAACAGAATCCTGACAGTTTAAAATCCTGAAATTTCAAAATTCTGACTACTATAATATTACCCCTAAAAAAAATGGTATGTAACTGAGTTTAAATTTGCCCGAAAAACAAATATTCAAAACTAAAGTCTATACTTCTTTCGCTTCGATGAATAGTAGTAAAATTATATCGAAAGTATACTTAAACTAAACTTAAGAAATGAACTTTGGTTATTCAGTTATATATGTTATATATGTATATTAATTAAAAACGTAGGAGAAACTATTATGACTTACGCCGTAACAGTTTCTGGACTATTAATAAGCTTATTAACTATTATTATACAATAATATGTCATTATTACATCATTTGTGCTTGCAAAAAAAAATTATAAAGTTGGCAAATGGCCATTTTTTGCGAGAAATGGCGCAATGAAGCATTTTTCTTATATATTAAAAAATGGGTTTATCCTAAATTATTAATATATATATATATGTTATATGTCACTTTGGAATTTATGTTACATTAGTGATATTACATTCTCTTTGTAATACACATCCACAACGTCTGGCACGGCTTTTACAACATGAACAACTCTTAATTTTACAGTTGGTTCTTTACAACAGCAATAGCTTTTGCTTTTTACTTGTTTATTTACTTGTTCGGTTTCTTGTTTTTGAATCGTTGGATTATTTTAGTCATGTGTAGTGTTTTTTTTTTTTTTTTTAGTTAATCCTAGTGATTATGTCAAATATTAACA